GGGAAGGAAGTGGGAGGGCTAGGGGAAAGGATAGAAGGGAATGGGATTAATATGAGATGAGGTATTACTTTAAAACAAGCAAGCAAGCAAAGAAAACAAACAAATCCAGCATGTAAGGCCTCGAATTCTGTCTTTTAGATATCTCCTTTTATGGGAGACCATATAGCAAGATTGAGGTGTAATTTGCCTCCTCGGTGAGCACTAAGAAGAAAGAGGGCGTGTAAGCATGCTGACACACTTCAGGGAAAAGCAAAAACACCTGAGGTCCTGTTGTTTGCCTGGACAAGGTCCATGGAGGATGGGAGTCAGGTGAGTCCTGTGGAGCTCTAATTGTTCCCGAGTTTGAGTGAATCAAGCCAAGGTGTGCCAGTCTCTCAGGGCTATGTTGAAGGGAGACAGGAGTGGGCTGGAACCCCACATTTTGACCTGATTCTGTGTTTCTGGTTCTCATGTCGTCACCCCCTGGTCAGGTTCAAGCTCTTAGACTGGTCTCTAGAAGTGGCACCCTGAACAGGGACCTGGTCAAGGAAGTCTGCCCCAGGGGAAAAATACAGTGAATCAGCGACAAGGACTTCTGCAGTGGAGAGAAGCCGCTGGCAAAAGAAAGGTGAGTATGTGCAGTACAGTCAGCCGGGGTAATGGGGCAGAGTTCATCGACTGAAACACAGCATTATATCCCTTTGCTGGAAATTCTGTTGTGCCAGTCTGACACTCAAGTTAGTACCCAGTTGATTTCTCAGATGTTGCAAGACGTTATCACACATAATCCTTCAGATGGGTACATTTGATATAGAGAGTTGGAGTCGAGGGCTGACTCCGCCACCTAACTCACAATTGCAAGGACCCGAGTTTGATCCCTAGTGCCAACAGCAAACAAAGAAACAATTGGGCTTGAATAAGAGAGGATTTTCAGTGTGCTTGTGCCCAGGGCTCTGCTATATCCCCTAAAATTTTCTTTGCCCTTGAACTCGGGAACATCCTACACCTAGTGCACCCTTGAGAGAAAATGAAGATGAGGGTGAAAAAGAGCCTAAGTCCCCTTCTCTTCCTTCTCCTCTTCCTCCATCTGCGGTTGGGACAAAAGTAGTGTCTCCTCATCAAAGACTGGCTAGACAGGCTGCGCTTAATGGAGAGCCCTTCGGGACGTGTGCATTTCCAGTTACCGTTCATCCTGCGCCTAACAATCCACAACAAAATGTTCATGACCACAAGCCCTTGGAGTATAAGTTGCTCACAGAATTAAAATCCAGTGTCATGAACAATGGGGTTCAAGGACCTTTCATGTTAGGCTTACTGGAGTCTGTACTAGGAGCTGTGTGCTTGCTTCCTCTAGACATTAAGCATGTAGCTAAGTCCTGCCTCTCTGCAGGGCGGTGCTTAACTTTTCATGTTAACTTTCATGAGTTAGCAGTTGAGCAAGCGTGACGGGTGCCAGGGCACCTGGAAATGGCAGAAGAAGTGCCCCTGGGGACAGGCCTGTCCTCAGATCTAATGGACAGCTAACACTTCCAGACCAGGCCTTGTCACGAAAGGAGCCTGGGTCACCATTCCTGAGGACGGTATTCCCACCCAGTCCTTCTTACGTACTCTCCAAGGCCCCCTGCGAGCCCAAGGCCCAGATTTTAGCCAGGTTGGAGGAAGCCCTCCGATGACAGCTTTTGAATATCACAGTTGTTTAAAATCAACTTGCCTAGAGCCCATCTCACGCCAGCCCCTTCTCCACAAAGCCTGCTCAGGACCCTCCAGCCCTCCGTCAGGGAGTGAGCAGGGTAGCAGCCGCCGGCCTTGCCCATCAGGAATGGGCTGATCATCTGTACGAGCAGCCAGACCGTCCTTCCCTCTCCAATCCTCTTTAGCGCTCTTTGTCACTCTGCACCAAGCACTCATCTCCCTCTTGTGCAAGATGAACGTTGGCAGGCCGGTCTGGTTTGGATCCCATTGGATCCTGCAGGTGAATAGTTACACCTGGGAAAGAGATGGGCCCTTGGGACTCGGGGAGCTAAAACAACTCGCTCAAAGTCACACAGGGAGCTTTCCAACAAATAAACCAGGAGAGAGAACCAGGTTTAAAGCCTCCCTTGGAGTACAGTGGACACTGGATTTACAAACTCAATTCGTTCCCAAGGGCTGCTTGTAACTCAAGTTGGGCACTTGCCTTCAGTCTCTCTCCTGTGTCATTTTCAGCCACACTGTCTTCCAGGCAGATCTCAGTGTCCTCAGAGAGACACTGGCCCAGAAATTCTCAGCCCCACATGGGGAAGGATGTTGTAATGTTCCTTCCAGAACTCTGTACTTGAGGCCATCTGGAATCACAAGCATCTGGCGTTCAGGTTGTAACTCCAGACTTTGTTCCTAAGTTACAACTAAAATTCTGGTCATAACTCAAGTTGTTCGTATGCCAGGCCGGTCGTAACTCGAGGGTCCACTGTATATCTTTGCTGCTTTAATTTCAAGTTTTCTCATTGTTCAACTGTTGTTTTTATTTAGTTTTTTGTTCAACTGTTATTTTAAAAATCTTGCCTTGCGTACATTATAGTACTAATATACTATATGTATGAAATACTGTAAGTATTTTATCCTATAAGTATGAAATTCAGGGCAGAAATGGATAGCATTGGAGAAATGTAAAATTTGTACACATCAAAGTCTTATTACTGTACTAGGTTGTGGAATTCAAGCATCAATTGGAATAATCTCTGTGATGATAACTTTGGATAATCTTGGGAAAGAAGATGTCCATGTGCTGGATAAGAACTGTTACAAAATTCATGAAACGAAGGCAACATGAGCCATTTGAAGCGCATTTCTAATTTCCCAGATGGGTCAGTTCACACCTCAAGGCCCATTTTAGAGCTTTAACGCTGTTGAAAGCATTCAGTTCTTCTCCCTCATTTGATGGGTGTGGAAACTGAGGCCTACGAGAACCTCAGTCAGGGTCACAACTAGAAGGCAATTCACGATTTGGTTTCTCCTTTCTCCTCTCCTCCCAACTCCTAACCTAGGATATTTTGCAGAATCCTCTCCTATCTATAGAATCCGAGAATTTACAGAGTTGAAGCTAAAGTTCCCCGTGGATAAGAGGCTGCCAGCTGCCGGGTGCCGGCTGCCTACGAGGTGTAGAGCTTATGGGCGCTTGCTGTGGGGAGAGGGAGAGCCCTCGCAGGGCTGGCAGACACAGGCCTAGGCTCTGCAACTTCTCCAGGCAAAGAAGTCTATGTGTGCTCTCAGGAACCCACAAACTGGGGGCCGGATTGAAAAGAAAGAACGCAGTTGAGAGCCCTTGCTATGAGCTTCTCCTCTGCCTGGGTTGTGCTACCTACGTCCCCAAGTGCTCAAGCCACAGCCATCTTTCCAGCTGTGGACCAAACACTGCCTGAAGGTTCTACTTTTTACTTCCAGTATTTACACTTTCTTCATCTTTTGTGAGTTTCTAAACTGAACCATGAAAACCGCTCACTCGTGTCCTAGCCCTCTCCTTCAGCCAAAGGTGTTCAGTGTGCAAACTCCAGGTGATCCTAGTGCATTCTCCTTTAGTAAGGGGGCAGGTGCACAACCAAAAGGCCAGAAGGGCTAGACAGTGAATGTCTGAGAGTGTGTGTCTTGTTTGCAGGGGAAGCCACACCCGGCTCCACTGATTGCTGTTGCTCCCCTACGAATACAGACCCCTAGTATTATCAGATGCTCATATTTCTTAAACCCATCCCCAAATCTAGACTTCTTTTGGTGAAAGCATCTGACTTGAAGATATTGGCAATGAACTCTAAATTTTCATAAATGCTTTATGGGCCAAGTGTCTATAAGATACTTATACACAGGATAAAACCTACCCACAGATTTCTAGCTCGTGATTTTTTTTTTTTTGAGTCGGTCTTGCTTTGTAGTTCAGGCTGGCCCTGAACTCACTATGTAGCCCCGGTTGGCCTTGAACTCATGGCGATCCTCCTGCCTCTGTCTCCAGAGTGCTGGGATTCCAGGCATGTGCCACCATGCCTGGCTCACCTTGTAATTTATGAGTAGAAGTATATAAGTGGGCATATACTTTATATGTGCTTTGAAGATTGACTGTTTTCTCCAAGCCCATGCTGTTGGTAGCGATCTTTCTATGTCAGTATCTATAGATCATTTCATAAATTTCAATGGTCATACAATATTTTCTTATGTGGATGCATTGTAGTTTAGTTTCTATTCATCTTGTCAATCTGCATATAAGGGTTGATACTTTCCCAACATCATAAGAGGCTTCCACAAATCTCTTCTTACAAGTACCTTCTGAAGTGGGCCTGTGAGGTGCTATAGGATGGATTGTTCTCCCTCTCTACTCTCATACTTGCTATCCTGTCTCATTTGCCCCAGTGGATATAGAAGTCAGGAACCACCTTTCACTTCCTCATGCACTCTTCTCTATTTTAAATCACATATGCAACCCTGGAACGAATGGCTGAATTAACAGATTGAAAAAGAATCAGAGAAAGAAAACTTACTTTTGATTTTCTGGGTGATTTTTAGATAAGTCGCTTTCCTTGTCTGAGGTTCTGTTTTGCCATCTGTAAAATGGGTCTTCATTTATTCAACACGTTTGAAATCCTCATGGAGTCTTTTCTCTGTGTGAACATCTTGTGAAGTAGAGGATATAGCCGTGAGCCAGAGACTGTACTCTAGCGGATCTGTTCCGCGTTCTCATTCAGATGTAACATTTTTGGGTGCTGTGACTCCCTGCCACGTCTCACAGCCTGAAGCCCTAACTAGATTGGGAAGTGGAAGTATGTCCCACTCTCTCAGGAGCAAAGCTGAGAGCCCTCCGCTAAACATACATCCCGTGGGGATTCGTAAATGGGATGTACTGAGGACTGCTGACGGCAAAGTACTCATAAGCAAGTTTCACTGCGGAAACATGGTATGCTTTGGATAGTTTCCTCTGTCCCATGAAAACTCATTATGGACTCTTTTCAAAGCGCGTCGCCCCACGAGTTGAGGTGACGGAAATTGAAGGCCGTCTTCTCTTTTATTTCTGTCAGATGGGGAAGGTAGAGGCTGTCCCAGCTCTGGCCATCTTATTCCCTGAGGTCAGAAAGGAGTAAAAATAGGAAAAGTGAAAGCACGTAGGACTTCATACATCAGGGAATAAGGCAATAAACACATTAGCTGTCAAGAAAGGGCACAGGGGAGTCACAGTCTTGTAGTGGAAATAAAATCATAGGAAAAGGAAGACAGTGCAGTATGGCAGTTTAAACCGCTGGCCCTGGAGCTATATAGCCACAAGATTTATTTCTGCTGGAAAAATTCACAGTTATTAATTGTGCAAACTTTAACCGTGAACTGTCCCACTTTCTTTATTTCTAAAATAACGACAGTGTCACCTAATTAATAGAATGATTGGGTACACTGAAAGACTCTGTGTGTATTGGTCTGTTCCTACCTACTAGATAATCGTCAACAAATTTATTATTATTACAGAAGATGCAAATGATCTGTCTAGTGTATTTCTAATATAGATTAGTTTTATGACCTTTGGCCTTCTGTTTTATTATTTCTAAAAGGGAGACAAAACTTGGCATAGCTACCTTTTAGAGCTCTAGTGAGACTTGAAAAAAAGGCAATAAAAGATTA